CTAATTGCTGTAATTTTCTGTGCCATCAAGAATTCCCAGAACCACACAGGAGTTTTCTAGGCAGCGCTGTGTTCCTATGGGAGGGACCGTGAAACCTTCCATCAGAGTTGTAGAATTGGGTGCACTAGGCTGGTTTCTCTCCTCATCCTTTCATGGATCAGACAAATTATTTTCATTTTGGTTTTGGTTTCACTCCTTTTATTGTTTATTTCTTACTATAAAAGTAATATGTGGTCATCATAAAAAATGAAAACAATGCAGAAGCGTAGTAAAATAAAAAGTAATATCCCCTCAATCCTGCTGCTCAGAGGTAACCATTATTAACAACTTGGTGCCTTTCTTTCAAAACTTCTTATATAGTTTAACGTATAATACAGATAACATTTTGTGTTATAAAAATGGGATAATACCATGCATAGAGTTCAACAACTAGCTCTTTTATTTATCATGGACAACTTCCGTGCTGGTACAATATAGAGCTACTTCATTCTTTTTAATGGCTGCATAAAAGTACATGGTATGGATATACCACAATTTATTTAACCATTTCCCAGTGTGCATTTTAATGATTTACTCTCCTTTATTATTGTGAATAATGTATGAAGTTTCTTTGCACATAATCTTTTCCCTTAAGCACAGCTGCAAAACCCCTATGGCCATGGAAGGTAACACTCAGAGGTTCCAAAGAGAGATCTGTAGGAGCAGGACTGCTAGGTCAGGTATATCGATATTTAAATTTTTGATAGAAGCAGGCAAATCATACTCCACGAAGTCTGAATGAAAAATATTGAGACACTGAATAAATATTCATGTTTAATTTTCTTCTAAAATAATATGTTTAATGCAGACTTTTGGCTTTTAACATTTCAGCTCCCATGAGTCCCAGTACCTTTTTGTATTTGTTGATAGCTAAAATCTGAGCAGAAGGAGGGATGAGAAGAATGAAGTGAGCCATAGATTGGGTTCTCTGCAGGGTGGGTCTGGCTTCGGTGGAGTGAAGTGGTGGCTTTCGGGACCCCAGGTTCCAGCCTTCTGTAAGCCCTGAAGTACCTGAGCAGGACATTTTGAAAGAAGCCCGGTGGGAAGGAGGAGACAAGAGACGGAATTGACTGAATGACCACACTGGGCCAGGATGGATGTGGCCCTGTGGTTGACGCTTAGGATCTAGTGGGGAAGGCAGACAATAAACAAACAGAGGAGGGTATCACGTATTTGAGGTACGATACACACTATGAAGAGGAATGAAGTAAGTGAAGGGGAGAGTGGCAGGGGGCAGGAGGGCTGTTTCACCTGTGGTGTCAGGCACGGCCTCTCTGAAGATTATCATTTGTGCAGAGACCTGAATGAATGGATGGGTGAACCATGCTCAAGGTCTTGGGGAAACATGCTCTGTGCAGAAGGAACTCCTGCTAAATGGAGCTGAATGGAGGATGGGAGGAGGCGTGGCTTCAGCATGGCTGGAGTGCGTGAGCAGGGGCAGAGTGATGCCACATGTGTGTTAGAGTTCTCCAGAGAAACAGAACCAATAGGATATACATACATGTGCATGTAATACATTTTATATAGAGACAGAAGATATAGAATATATATATTATATATATAATTTATATATTATATAATATAAAATCTGTTGTTATAAGTAAATACTTTATATATATAAAGAGATTTCTTATGAGGCATTGGCTCACATGTTTGTGGAAGCTGAGAAGTCTCCAGGTCTGCAGTCGGCAAGCCAGAGACCCAGAGACAGCTGATGGTGTACGTTCCAGTCTGAGGGCAGAAGACTGACATTCCTTCTTGGTCAGCCTTTTGTTCTGCCCACACCTTCAGCAGATTGTAGGACGCCTACTCCCATTGGGGAGGGCAGTCTGCTTTCCCCAAATTTAAATTGTCTACCAATTTAAATTTAATCTCATCTAGGAACACCCAGAAAAATGTTTGACCAAACGTCTGGGCACCCCGTGGCCCAGTCCAGTGGACACATAAAGTTAGCTACCACAGTGTGTCTATGAAGTAGGCAGGAGACCACATCATCTGGGGCTGCGCTGCTCAGTATGGTGGCCGGGGGCTCGTGAGCCATTATTGAGAACTCAAAATGTAGCCAGTGCCAGATGTTGGAGTGACACTGAATATGTTGGGTGAAATCAAAAATGTTATTACAATTAGTTTCACTACGCTTTTTACTTTTTAAATGTTGTTACAAGGAAATTTTAAATAACACAAGTGGCTCATATTGTATTTCTGTTGGCAAGAGCTGGTCTATAGGGCCTCACAGATGTGACAAGGAGTTAACAGTTCATTCTGAGTATCTTGGAAGGTGCTCAGAGGGTTTCGAGATTGAGAATCACTTGCTCTAACTTAGATTTGAAGCAATTCATCTGCTACTGTGGGAGAATAAGCTGGAAAGGAGCAGGAGTGGGAACAGGAGATCAGGTAGGAGGCTCTAGTGGGGAGGACGAGGAAGTGGTGGCGTTGGGTTCTACAGGAGCAGCAGAGGGGAGGGAAGTGGTCAGCCCTGGGATGTACTCAGAGGAGAACCAACAAGCTTTGCTAATGGGTCAAATGGGGGCAGGGAGCAAAGACACAAACCAAGATGACTCCTAGTGTTGGGGCCTGAGCACAGTGAGTGAATGATGGTGCCACTTACCAAGATGTGAAAGACTGAGGGTGTGTTAAACTAAATGCCATGAAGCATATTGAAAATAGGAAGAAAAAAAGCAACAGGGGAGAAATACAAAAGAGAAAGGGTGCCTGGGTAGCTCAGTCAGTTAAGCATCTGCCTGTGGCTCAGGTCATGATCCCAGGGTCCTGGGATCGAGCCCTACATTGGGCTCCCTGCTCAGCAGGGAGATGGTGACAGGTGTGTGGGGGGACAAGCAGAAGGCCGGTGAGCAAGGATGGAGAGGTAGTGAGGCAGGTCCAGTGGTGAGGGGGAAGTGGGAACCCAGTCAGGCCAGAAAAGAATGAAAGATGGGGACGTTGGATCCAAATACCTGCCTCTCTCTCCAAACTCCTGGAATAATCTCTCCCCACCATCATATATACACACGCACGCATACACATACATGTACACGTACATATAAATCACCTATAATGGTGTTTTTATATAAAGGGGAAAATTGATATATTTGAACATATTAAAATTTAAAATCACAGTGCAATGAAATATACTATAAATAAATTTTAAAAAGTGAAAGGCTGGAAGATATAACTTATGTAGCAGGCAAAGAAAAGATTAATATCCAGAATAAATGAAGAGTTCTTAATACATCAGGAAGAAAAATAGGCAGAGGATTTAATTAGGCTATTTTCAAACAAAGAAATGCACATGACCAATAGGAAAAGACTCTAAGTGTCTGGCAAAAATTAAAATGATTGAGACTTCCATGTCAATAGGGTATGGGGCACGCAAAAAGAGTTACCCTCATGCACTGTTGGCTGGGAGTGTAAATTCGTAGCTCCTTGTGGAAGACAGTTGGACTGTGTCTAGCAATCCAGCAAAGGAGCAGACTCTTAATCCAACAAAAGCACTTCTATGTATTTTTCCTGAAAAGATACTCATCCCTATGTGCAAAGAAACCAGTAGAAGAATGTGTATTGCAGCATGTGTTGCTATTTTAATAGCTAAAACTTGCAAACAATCTAAATGTTCATCAATAGGAGGATGGGGAAATGAATTATGGCACACTTATTGCCTATTCACATGTGGCATTTTTTAAAAGATCTATAAATACAGGGCACCTGGGTGGCTCAGTCATTAAGCGTCTGCCTTCAGCTCGGGTCATGATCTCAGGGTCCTGGGATCGAGCCCCGCATCCGGCTCCCTGCTCCGCGGGAAGCCTGCTTCTCCCTCTCCCACTCCCCCTGCTTGTGTTCCCTCTCTCGCTGTCTCTCTCTGTCAAATACATAAATAAAATCTTAAAAAAAAAAAAAGATCTATAAATACACTGATAGGAAAAAGATCTTTAAAGATGTGGGTAGGTAAAAAGAAATTGCAATATGTGATATATTTAGCTAACCAAGCGCTGTGTTTGTATATGTGTAGGTAATATTTATAAGTACCTAGAAAGAGGTCTGGAAGAATAACCAGCAAATCGCCACCAGTAGTTAGCTCTGGAAGAAGAGTGAGGTCGCAGGCTTTGGGGAGTGGGAACTGGGACGGGTTCCGTATCTCAGGAACCATTCCCAAGCTTTACTGTTAAAATGACCTAATAAATTGTGCTGAAGTGGAGGTGGGTCTGGGTACGTCCAGGTCTGCGGTATTTCTCTACTCCTCCATCCGTGGTCCTGGGCTTTTCCGACGAAGGTGATGTAAAGGTGAGTGTCTGTGGCCGGCATTCATGGGGAAACGGCACTCTGCGCCCGGACATAATTTCCAGAGCAGCCCCATACTGTTCTTAGTTATTGCTTGCACTCAGGTTATCCCCTTCTGCTGCAGCCAGCTCTGCCAGCAGGTCCCATGAAGAAGGCCCAACTGCAGCGGAGAGAGCTCAGAGGCGCTCCAGGTCACCTCTGTGGCCCAGCTGCATGGAAATTCATTAGAGGCAGACCACGTCCCCCATGGCTCGGGTCTCAGGGATGCCAAAGTCATTAGCAGCTGTGTTCGGCTCCAGCTTCCATCTCTGTCTTCTGAAAAAGTGTTGGGGCAGGAAGAGGAGGGCAGGCTGAGTTGGTGGCTGAGGACAGTACAACTTTCATTCCCAGATAGTTTGTCAGAGGCATTCGGGTGCAGTGACCTCCAGAGACAGGGGTGTTTTTCATCAAATCAGAGGCAGCAGTGTGCTGATTCCCCTGAACGCTACAACGAAATTCCCTTTGCCCTAAATGAGTGTGTCCTCCCTGAAGCACGCGGGGTGGTGACCGTAGCAACAAATCACCCAAATGTTATTTTGTTCCCTTTGCCTTTTGTGAAGCCTCCCTTTCCACAAACAATTTGTGTTACTGTTTCAATTATAACTAGCTCTCTTTCCTTCTTTTTTCTCTTTTTAAACTCTGTCTAGGATCAAAGAAAGAAGTACAGAAAGATCAAGATGCTAATAAACCTGCTGTTTCATCTCCTAAGAGAACCGTGGCTTCAGCCACCAAGCTTCATTCACCAGGTATTTAAGAAATGTGATCGGTGTCATTTGGGGAGAAGGCTTGGACTTGTAATTTATTTGGTTCACATGTCATTAATGGAGCAGGGCCAGCCCACGTGATATGTGTGATATGTTCCAGAGCTTGAAGTACATACACTGATGTGTCCTGACTCGAGATGAAATGAACCAGCTGTTGGCATCATTTTATGTTAAAAAAAAAATATATGAAATGTTACTGTACTACTTTTAAGTGGTAGAATCTTCTCTGTGTAGGAGTATCTACTATTCCTATAGCATGTAGAAATAATTTATAATTGAAAAACAGACTTTGAAGATCTAACCTCCAGAGATAATAATATTTTCTAAAAAGAAGAAAAATAGAAAAGCAACAGATATCAAATACTTGTGATCTTGTCAATGAGGAAAGCATTTATCTTCAGATATGAATAAACTAGGTAACATCATTTGAGAGTTGAAAATCGTTTATAACTTGAAAATTCATATTGTAAGGCATGAACAGAATATTGCATTCTGTTCTCCCTTTGTAGAACAGAATACAATATAACCTCAGAACATTTTCTTTAAGCACGAAAATTGTAGCAATAATAGCAGCTACTGTTTGAGTCCTTACTGTATCCCAGGATACCAGGTACTGTTGTAAGCTCTTTAAATGTATTAATTTATTTAATGCCTGCAAGGACTGAGACAGGCACCATTATTGGCTCTCCCTTTACATGTGAAGAAATTGAGGTACAGAGATTTTCATTAGTCAAGTCACAGGAAATCAGTAGTAGAATCTCAGTTTGATCCCAGCCACTCTGAACCCTACAACTGCATTCTTAGTCACTACCTCTGTTAACCAGAAAGCTTGGAGAATAGAGAACTTATTAATATTTCTGGTTAATTGAAAATGTACAGAAAAGAAGCCCGAGCCACATGTGAGAGGGTCAGGAGACAAAACTGCGTACCCAAATAGGGTGGGAGGTCAGAGGGGGGGACCCTGTATAAATCTGGAATTTCCAAAGGGCCACACCCTCACTGGATGAATTAGGAAGAAAAAGAAAACTCACCCCATAGGATGAGGCTAGCCTCTTTCATCTTTGGCTGTGAGAGAAGATCGGGAAGAGAGACACGTTCTCCTTTAGGGATTCCTCACCCCCAATCCGCCCTGCCTCAATTTAAGAGCCAGAAAACATGCTACCTCTGTGGTCTGAAAATTCAGTTATCATGCTATAGCACTTGTGTGCACATAGCAGAATAAAATGTAACATCGTTACACACTCAAGGAAATAAGCCACCATGAGTAAGGGCCTTCTATTCCGGGGGAAGAGAGTAAAGATATTGTGTAATTTTAGACTTTGTTAAGTCAAAGATAATCAATAAAATAGAGCATATAGTTTTGAAGCAGTAGAGGGGAAAAGGTTGGGATAAGGGGTAAAAAAATATTTCAGTCAATGAAAGTGAAGGCAAAAAGGGGAGAAAGGAAAAAGAAAAAAAGAGAGAAGGATAAAAGGAAGGGAGGGAGGGAGGGAGGGAGGGAGAGGGGAGAAATTGAGAGAATAGAATAGGGGCACCTGGGTGGCTCAGTCATTAAGCGTCTGCCTTCAGCTCAGGTCATGATCTCAGGGTCTTGGGATGGAGCCCCGCATCGGGCTCCCTGCTCCGTGGGAAGCCTGCTTCTCCCTCTCCCATTCCCCCTGCTTGTGTTCCCTCTCTTGCTGTGTCTCTCTCTGTCAAAAAATAAATAAAAATTTTTTAAAAATAAAAATTAAAAGAAAGAATAGAATAAGATCTTAGAAATGAGTTTAGAGATGTCATAATGAATGTACATGAACTAAATTCTCTAGACTAAATCAAAGATTTAGATTACCAGTCTGGATTCACTTATTGAACAGTCAAAAGTATTTATTAAATGCATGTTATACACTGTGAAGTCTAGCTTTAGACTGCTTACAAAGTACACACCTAAGATAACAAGAATACTAAAAGGTTGAACATGAAAGGAAATATTTATACCAAGTAAATACGGAAACAAGAGGAAGTTTACAGTGTTACCGTTTTAAAGCATCTTTCTTGTGGTATAATTAATAAATACGAAACCACACATTTGTAAAGCATACAATTGACATGTATACACATGAGAGACCATCACCACAATCCAGATAGCAAACATATCTGTCATCCCGGAAGGTATCCTGGTGCCCCTATGTAATTCTACCCTCCTACCCCTTTGCACTCCCCAACACCCCCTCCATTCTATCTCTATAGATTAGTTTACATTTTCTAAAATTTTCTATAAATGGAATCATGTAGTATGTACTCTACTTTTCCCTGGCTGCTTTTATTCAACATGATTACTTTGAATAGTCCATTCCTTTTTATTGGTGAATAAAATTTCAGTTGCTGATACCACAGTTTATCCATTGACCCATCAATGCACCTTTGGGTTTCTACCCCAAGGCTTTGTTTATTGTAAATAAAGCTGCTCTGCATGTTTGTACAGGTCTTGATATGGACATCTGCTTTTGTTTCTCTTGGTAAATATCTAGGGGAGGAATGCCTGAGTCATATGGTAGTTATTTGTTTAACCTTTTAAAAATGTTAAAAGGTTTTCCAAACTGTTTTCCAAGATGGTTGTACCATTTTATATCCCCAAACAGTAGTGTGTGAGAGATCTAGTTCCTCCACATTTTTGCCAATATTTGGTATGGCCGGTCTTTTTAATTAAAGACATTGTAATAGGTATGAAGTGGTATCTGGGGTTTTAACTAGCATTTTCCTAATAACTAATGATGTTATGATGTTGAACATCTTTTTATGTTTATTTGACATCTGTATATGTTCTTTGATAAAATATCTATTCAAGGGGCTCCTGGGTGGCTCAGTCGCTCAAGCGTCCGACTTGATTTCAGCTCAGGTCATGAGCTCAGGGTTGTGAGATCGAGCCCTGCATCGGGCTCTGCACTAGGCATGGATCCTGCTGAGGATTCTCTCTCCCCCTCTCCCTCAAAAGCCCCTCCCCTCCTAGTCTCTTAAAAATATATACCTATTCAAATATTTTGCCATTTTTAATTGGGCTTTTTTCCATCTTATTGAATTTTGAGAGTTTTTATGTGTTTTGGATACAATTTTTTTCAGCTATGTGACTTGCAATCTCCCCCCACACACACAATCTGTGGCTTGTTTTGCCTTCTCCTAGCAGTACTTTTGAAGAGTACACATTCTTAACTTTCCTGAAGTCCAATTCATATTTTTTTTTCTTTTATAGACCATGTTTTTGAGATTATTGAAAAAATCTTTGTATCACCCTAGATCACAAAGATTTTCTTCTACATTTCTTTCTAGAAGATTTAAAGTTGGGGCACCTGGGTGGCTCAGGCAGTTAAGCATTTGCCTTTGGCTCAGGTCATGATCTCTGGGTCCTGGGATCGAGCCCCACGTCAGGCTCCCTGCTCAGTGGCGAGTCTGCTTGTCCCTCTCCCTCTGTGATCTCTCTTGCTCTCACTCTCTCTCTCATAAATAAAAAATATGTGTGTGTGTGTGTGTGTATAATAAAAGATTTAAAGTTATAGGCTTTATATTTAAATCTGTGATCCATTTCAGTTAATTTTTGTACACAGTGTGAGGTGTGGCTTGAATTTCTTTTGTTTTTGCAGAGTAACATGCAACTCATTTCTACTCTGATCTTTATGATTTCTTTTATTCTGCTTATACTGGGTTTAACTAGCTGATATCATTAGTTTGAAATCTTTCTTCTTTTCTAATGTGCGTGTTCAGTACACATTTTAGAAATAAATTTCCCTTTATTCGCTCCTTTAGCTATAGTCCACAAATTTTGATATATTGGGTTTCATCTTCTTTGGATTCAAACTGTTTTCACATTTCCTTTTATGATTTTTTCTTTACTCATGATTATTTCTAATTGTGTTTGCAGATATCTGGGACTTTGTAGAGACGTTTCTGATTTTATTTCTAATTTAATTCCATTGTGGTTAGAGAACATATTTTGGATGACTTGAATCCTTTTAAATTTATTGAGATATGTTTTATGAGTCACAACAAGGTCTGTCTTGGTAAATGATTCATACATACTTAAGAAAAGTGTCTGTTCTGCTGTATCTGTGTGAAGCATTCTATAAATGCCATGGGTCAAGTTGGCCGATGGCATAGTTCGAGTATCCTATATCCTTACTGATTTTCTGTCTACAGGTTCTATTCATAATTGAAAGAAAACTGTTGAAATATCAGAGTGTAACTGTGGACTTGTCTGTTTCTCCTTTCGGTTCTATCATTATCTGCTTCCTGTGTTCTGAAGCTCCACTATTAGGTACATAAACATTTAGGATTGTTTATCATTTTGATGAATTGCCCACTTTATCATTAGGAAATGACCCTCTTTATTCCTGGTAATATTCTTTTCCCTGAAATCTACTTTATTCAGTATTAGTTGTGCACTCCAGTTTTCCATTAGTTCAGCATGGCATACCTCCTTCCATACTTCTCCTTTTCATCTGTTTGTTTCTTTATATTTACGGTGGTTTCTTACAGGCAGCACATAATTGGCTCTTGCATTTTTCTCCAATCTGAATGCTCTGCCTTTGATGTACATATGTTATTGATTTGATTGGGATGAGGTCTACGACCTTCCTATTATTTTCTATCCAACACACATGTTCTTTTTTCTTACTTCCCTATTTTACTGCCTTCTTTTATATTAACTGAATATTTATTATGATTCCATTTGTTCCCTTAGCTATATTGATATGTTAGCTGTGTCTTATTGGGTTATTTTAGTGGTTGCTTTAGGGTTCATAGTTTCTATCTTTAACTTTTCACATTCTGACTTGAAGCGATATTATATCACTTCACATATAGTACACATATAGTTGACTCTTGAACAACATGGCTTGAACTGAGTGGGTTCCCTTATATGTGGATTTTTTTCAGTAAATACAATACAGTACTGTAAATACACATTCTCTTTCTTGTGAGTTTCTTAATTACATTTTCTTTCCTCCAGT